CCACCGGCGGCTATGTCACTTAGCGCACCCAGCTTCCTTCCCGACACCTCCTCTGGACCGGCGTTCGTCCCTACCCTCCAACCCACCCCCATCCCCACTCCCATCGCCACCCCTCTCCATACCACCTTTCCCCATACAGCGCCTCGGGCCACATCAGGAACACTCGTGGGTCACCTAGCACGATATCCTCCCCCGCCCTTCTCCCGCGGCTCTCAGCGTCGCTCCCCACACACATCACGACACGGGCCCCCTCCTCTCCGGCCTCCGTCCCTGCCTAGCACACCGCATGAATCATCTGGTATGCACCACTTTCAGCACATACCTCTTCACGCTGAAAACACCCCTGCCTTCCACGCACCATACGCAGGCCCAGGACACAGCCCAGACCCCTTCCCGCGGAACTCCTCCAGTATTTGGCACTACCCGCGGGCACAAAATGCACACGTGCGGTGCACTCCATCCAGTCTGTATGCATGGCACGCAAATCATCTCGCGTAACCCTTCTCCCAGCCTCAAACACCACTGTCTATACCACAACAGAAACTGCGGCCGTGGACACACACATCACAGTGGACATTCCCGCACTGCCACACAGACACGAACCCACCACACCTCACACAGTGCACGCTCTGTTCTGTGCATCACCTAACATACATGCTGAAATGAGACATTGTCAGGCCATTGTAGCAGTGCCTGGTGCATCAAAAATGCTATGGAAAGTGTTAAATAAAACGCACAAACCTCACACACTGTAGCATAACTCTCATATCCTCCTGAAAACACACACACACACACACACACACACACACACACACACACACACTCAAAGCACTTCTAATATATACCTGTGCATAGGATTTAACCCTGCCCAACTTTTGTCAGCCCAGAGCTTATAACTCTACCTCACTGTACATGTGGCCCTTCAACCCCAAGCCAGGGAACTGATTCATGCCTAAATGACAGGCACACCTTGGGTCCTACTTATAAGGATTTATGTTTTCTGAGTGAACCTCTTTAAAGAAAGAAAAGGTGTGCCTATACCATGCTTAAAAGACCAACCCAGAGAACTGGAGTTTGGGAGCCACACTGTTGGTCTCAAGACTATTCGCGTAACCTTGGTTAAGTAATTTAACCTTTCTCTGAGCCTCAGTATCCACCTCTAAAATGGGGATAAAATATGTACTTACCTCATATGGAGTTATAAGGATTAAATGAATATGTGTGAATGCACTTAGCAGAGTACCTGGCACATGATGCATAATTAATGTCAGTTACTTCTCTCCTAGTATATTTATCCAACAATCAATGGTTCTCAGCCCAGATCCGCAGAAACTGTGCAGGGTTATATTCGGTGGCCACAAGCATTGAGGGAACTTCTGGTATTTAGTGGGTGGGGGTTATAAATGTTTATAACGCAAGGGATAGCATTGTACGACAAAGAGTTGTCCCTTACACACAGGCACACACGTGCACCTACACACTTGTATACACACAAGTGCCAATGGTGTCTCCCTTGAGAATCAATGCACTTTTTCAGATTTTCATAAAACTAATAATGTCCTCCTACATCACACTTGTTCCTTATCTCCACAATGCATTTGACTCTTGATTCTTATTTTGTCAGTGTTTATCTATTTGCATGACTCTATCTAAAGCCATAAAGCATGTAAA